GCAGCTAAGTTTGTTTAGGCTGCTTAACAAATCACATTCCTTATGCAAAACAGCTCTTGTCTTCCATCCAATTGGTATAATTAGTAGCTGTGGCATGCACTCAGCTATATGATGAAGTGCTGACCAAAGGGACAGAGGTGACTGGGTAGCTGCCCACTCCAGGGCCGTATCTGTTCTAAACCCAGTCTGTGGGATGAAGTCAGGAGAAGAGATTGCTGCTTTGATCACTTGGGAAAGAACACAGATGCCTTTTCTTTATATGAGGTACATGCAGAAATGAAACCCTCCATATAGTCTCTGCATTGCTGACAGTACATTTTTTTTTTTTTTTTTTTTTTGGTATCTGGGATCGAACTCAGGACCTTGTGCTTTCGAGGCAGGTGGCGGAACCACTGAGCTAAATCCCTGCCCCCCTTTTTTTTAAATAGAGAGATTTAATGATCATTTGGTAAACAAGAATCGTAGTTATGAACCACGGAGGACATGGAGGACATTTCCGTTCCCTATAAATAACCATATGCACCTCTCAAATACTACATCCATTAGCAAGTAATTCAAGCTATCTCATCAGTGGAGTTGGTAACAGTCCTAATCTGATATTCCAAAGTAGCTGTATCTCTTGGGGGAACAAGGCCATTACCCACTATCATTTCTGTTTCAGCTTGACATCTGTGGAAATTTCAACACAGGTTATCCCTCCCTCTGTCTCCATAAAACTTTTATATAACAGCTGATTAATTTTTTTTTTTGGATAGGAGGACAGCAAAGCCTTATTCACTTTTCTTCCTGGCCACTCAGACCAGCCGTACCCCCAGGTTGGTCTCAGACCACACAGGGAGAGGAACCGGAGAGGGTGGGGCCTAAACAGGACTGTAGGCAGCAAAGCAATCACAAGGTCTGTTTTTCAATTTGTGTGTTGCAAAATGGGGCATTCCCACTTCTAAGTGTTTTTAGGAACCCTATTTAAAGGAAATTAAGAGATGAATATATGTTTCTGAGTATTGGCTATAACATCATTGAAGAGCTTCAAAACAGCTCAGGATTTGTTTTTAATCAGTATGTTCCCTGCTCCCATACTTAGGAAACAAAAGGTTTGCAGAATAAAAACAGTTTTTAAAAGCTACAGAATATTACAGAAGTATTTTAAATAAATAGAAACAGTGTTAAAATTATTTTAAGTGGGGAAGGGTTCTTCCTTGCATTTTCCCTGTGTTATATAAACTGTACGAGACATTTTTATTAAGAGGTAACATATGACACTTAGTCAAAAAGGTGATAACGCTTGACATTTATATTAAGGAATATTTCTTGGCTTCACTTTAGCGTAATCATCAGATGCATCATGGGGGAGGAGACAGTGACTGTGCCACCTCACCCGCCCCAGGACCAAGGGCTCCCCTTGGCAGGGCCTGCAGGTGCCATGGCACTGACCCCTGGGGGGACTTTGGTGAAAGGAGGAGAGGGGAGCTAAGGTGGCTATGGAGGAGTTCCAGAAGGTCCCCTGGTCTTTGGCTCTGGGGATGATCATTCCCGTGTAACTCCAAACGCCGGGGTGAGGGAGAGGGCAGTGTGGAACTGGCCTCCAGAGGCCACAGGAGCCCTGCAGAAGAGGGAAGAGGGGGGTGGTGGGGAAAGGGCCAATAAAAGAAAGACGCCTTCTGCCGGGAGGAAAAAGGCACAAGGCTGCAAAAGAACCTTTGGCAGAAAAATGCATTTCCTTGGGTATAAAATGACAAGGGGCTGCCCAGAGGCTCAGGGGTCCCTTTGGTCTAAATCCTGGGTTTCCCTCAGTTCCTCATGGGATGAAGTGGGCCTAATGGAGCTGCGTGTTCATCGGCTTTCAAACATCGGAATCTGGGGAAGTGGGACCCCACTATTGTGTTTAAAATATAACCACAGATAAAAGTTACTTACTGAAAATCCAATGAATTAATAAACTATGCTGCTTCTACCAAGTGACAGGCAGTTTTATGGGTAACTTGAGGTTACATTAATAAAAATAAGCTTCATATGTCTGTTCAATAGGGGCTATAAAATTGTATATTTCTTAGGAAAAAACCCCACCCCAACAGGATGGCAACAGTGCCGTGCTCAAAGGAGGAGCCTGACTCTCAGCAGTTTATTAAAACAGGAAGAGCCTTGGAAGTACATTTATGACCCTTTGTGTAAATAACGCTTACATAATTTAAACAATTTCTTTGGCTTTGCTGCCCCATCTGCCCAAGGCCCCAAAGTCCCTCCCGTCTCCAAAAGGAAGCAGGGAGAGCCATAAGGTCTCCCGGAGCGGCTGAGTTAATGGCATGTAGCGTTTACATTGAGGGCATGGCATGTTTGCAAACGAGCTCACCACTGAGTGATGAAATGTACAAATGGCTCGGAGAACTCTCCAACCGGAAGGACGGGCGAATCCTGGGATGGAGGAAAAACAAGTCACCAAAAGTCAGGACAATTCCTTTTCTTTCTATTTCACCCCCCAACCCCTGGAAGCCCATTCAGAGGAGCAGGATAAAAATGAACATATGACACGAGGCCTCATCCAATTAAAAGGACTGGCTCTACCCTCCTTCCACACGTTTAGGCAAAAAATGCCAAATTTTGAGTCCCACACATTTTACAATGGTGAGAAACATGAGAGCAAAGAGGGAGGGGAGGTGAAGAAAGGACAATGATAGCCACAGGGTAGGAAGGAAGGTAGGGAAAGTGTAAATGAGAAATTAATGATTATTTAAGTAACACACAAATGGTCTTGTAATTAACAAAGAGCTGTGAAATTATTCTTGTGTTGACCTTTGTTTCTTTTACTGGATTTGCTATTTATTTACACTTTCCTGTTTATTTACATTTATTTGTATATTCAACTGCTCTTAACCGCCTGCCCCTACAGTGTACATTTGTGGGTAAAAATCTTTTTCTTACTTTAATAGAATGGGATTTTTAAGGAAAGTTTTCCCCTGAAAACGAATTTCAGCCTATTCGCCAGGCTGGGCGAACTCGTCATAGGAGGAAGCCAGTGGATTAAGGACACAATGAGCAACTCCCATCTCCATGACCAAACAAAACTGGGGCAGTGAAGGGATTCACCCAGAAGAGCAGAAAACTACACGAGCAACAACAGCGACCACGATCATGCAACACAGGGAGCAAAGCCCATTAGTATTTGCAAAGGAAGGCTTTAAGAATTTAGGAGTTTTTCCAAGAATGACAGAGAGCGCCACTGTGTTTATAGTGTAACAGCTCAGGATGTAATGAAATTACACTGCAGAGTACTTTAACAGTCATCTCATTAGACCTACAGTTGGAACAAGAGAGCCACATAAAGTAGGCAGCTGCAAATGACTCTATTCTCATCTATTCTCATTTGCTATTAAAAATACCTTTCGGCGCCTTTTTTCCTCCCTGACATCCCTGCACAAAGTGCCCTGCAAAGTATGATACATGCACCTATTTAAATTAACAAAGGAATGACTTATTTTAATCTCACTGTGCTTTGGAGTGTTTTGGCCATTTGGATGAGCAATATATCATTACATACAACCTTCCAGCGCTGCAGGCAAGAAACTCAAAGCATGCAGCATTTGGTGGGAGCCAAACAATTTCTCTAGCACACAACTGTGTCAAATGCATGCATGTATTCATTATTGAGATCGAGAGGAAATGGCTTTGATGTAGTGGAAAAAAGAAGATGATGAAAGCACCTCTGCAATATGCGTGTCATTATCAATGGTGGCAGAGAGATACAATTGCACAGCCTCCTATGTGATTAGTAAATATACATATAATTGCTGTGGCCAATTATCAGAAAAATGAGATCGGTAATTACAAGACAGAAAATTAACTAGAACTCTTATTAAGGCTTTGTTTTCAATTCAAACAATTGGAAACTGCTGGAAAATACAGTTAAATAAAAAGGAACCGAAGGGGTCAAACCAGCCAAAAAGGGGGGAAAAAATCTCCAAGAGGTTGATAGAAGAATAAGAACAAAATGTTTCTTGGGTTTTTTGCATACCCATCCTCTTTGAATTTATGCTATTCAGCCAGAGGACAGGAAGGTTAGTATTCTAAACTTAAAATTCTCATTAGTAGAGAAAGGCTTCAGGAAGAAAGGAAAATGAGAGTGAAATAAAATCTTGCCAAGTTCAAAGGGTCACATGCTGGCACTTCATAGAGAGGACATGAAAAACAGGGGCTGGTGAATTGGTCTACTCAAAAGAAACACAGCACACAGTGACATGACCAGCCCTCAATAAAGGTACTGTAAAATGGTCACAGAAGTCCCATTGGTTTGAAGAGCAAAAATAAAACATGATATCAATTTCAGCTGTGGCCTGTTTTAGGAAAGTTGTATATATCTCTGGGCCTGAGAGATGCTACCAGGCCCAGTTCAAGAAATGACATGTTATTGTCTCAAATACCGTAAGTAAAAAGATAGTTCAAAGTTTGAGGTACAGAAATTATGGATTCTGACCAGTTAGGAAGCTTCTCTAAGCCATACCTTTATAGATTATTCTTTTTTTGGAGTCTATGGTACTGGAAGTGTCTGAGGGGCAGAAGTCTTAAAATGCAATATTTAGAAAAATAAAAGCCTGCTTGCTGTCTTAATGTGGTGGAATATTTACCAAGATGGTTACAATTCTGGCTTGCTTTTCTTTTCTCCAAGATCTGGTATAAAACATGATGCTAATGTGAGTCTCATTTCTAAGTATGATACAAAGAGTAAATTAATGAATTATAGACCAGGCAACCCGATTAAGATGTCATTTTTACCATGGATGAGAAATGGAGAAATGTGACATTTGCATGGGTAGTTAATTTTATTTAAGACCTGATATTGTAGACTGTTAAGTTCCTCATATTATAAAACTAAGGAACACTGGGTGGTACCCATGAATAATTTATTTCACTTCTAGTAATGCCAGTCCAAGTCGACTTCAGAGAACCACAGCGAGTGGATTCTTATCTCATCGGCAAAGAATCACTCATCAAAGATGCAGGGGGAGATTCTCATCTCATGTGGACAACACCTGACATTTCTTTTTACTTTAAAATCCATGTCTCTCGCATGCCTTGAGGAAGCATTTTCCGAGCTGCAGAAGACTGGCTGGTAGGGGGCAGTGGGAATGACACACATAACCCCAGACGACAGCGGCCTCTGAGAGCTTCCATAAAAGTACGCAGGGCAAAGGAGCGCACAGGAGCACATCTGAGAATGTTCACTGTGTTGAAGGATTTTGAAGCATGCTTTTCTCTTTTTAAAGAAAATAAAATCAGAAGTTGTGTAGATCAGGATGTGAAAGAACCTATTTGTTATTTAGTTCGAATATGGGAAGGGAGGAAGGCAGTGCACACGAACTGTGGCCTCCGGCTTCCTGCAACTCACAGGAAGGGAAACCACCCCATCCTGGTGGGGCTCCAGGGGGCCTGACAACCATCCCAGGGATCCCACAGAATCCAGTAAAGTGTTTGCTGCTACTTATCAAAAATGTCCTCTGTGGAATATGGGTTCGGGAAAGATGGAGAAATACATTTGAAAAACAAATGTGAATCGAAGAAGCAGTTACACCGATAACTCTCAGAACTGGCTGAAACTGACTCTAAATTGTTAATAAAAGTCACTCTCTTTAAGACCCTGGGTGCCATACTTCACCTTAAGGGCTTTTGGGGATGCTTTTCTGTTGAACTTCTAAGCATGCAGGTGGACAACGGCAGTGGACACAACCTTAACCAAAAGCCTTAGCCTGAGAGTCTAGTCCCAAATCAACTTTAGAGCCCTACTAAAGGGATGAGAGCTGGATCTTGTTATCGAGGAGGCAACAGTTACATAAAAACAGCTGTCATAAAGCTTTTCAGTAAGCAATTCTGGTCATCAAGGAGGACAGTCTCCAAGTCTCAGAGGTTTCGGTAACTACCTGGTCAGCCCCTTTCGCTAAGCAACTGGAAAGCGAGCTCGTGGTACGCCAGGAACAGTGAAGGACAATGGGAAAGAAGTTTGAGTGATGCCTTTGCCTTGTGAATAATGAACGGTTCAGGAAGGTCAACCCATTACAACTGAAACTGTTTAATTATTAATTATGCGCAATCTATGGGCAAAAGGACAAGTTCAGAATGTTTAATGTATGCTAACTTCAACTGGACTCTCTCTGGGCATTTTGTTATTAGCACTTGTCAGCAAGGTACTCAGGCATAGAAAAAGGCAAGCAGCAGAAAATCTGTGTGCATGTGTGTGCCTGTACCTGCTCACTCCGAGAGCAGGAGGAAGGGGAAGCAGGAGGAGGCGCCATCTCAACCTTAGCTGCCACGAGTTCACATGCAGAGTTGTTTGTCAGAAGTGCGTTCTGTGGCCTTGGAAGCAGGCAGGTAAGTTAGATGGTCCAAATACAGAAAACAGAAATGAGAAAAATGCTTTTGAAATGACTTCTTTAAAGGGGAGATCATTATTTTAGAGGGATTTTATATTTTGGTGGCGCTGGGGGTCTCCCCTGGGGCCTCATGCTAGGTGAATGACTAGCCCTGAGTTACACCCTAAGCCTGTGATACTCTTTTTTTTGAAATCATGATATTTCATGGCTTTAAAAGGACCTGTCTTTAATGTTTATTACTAACACCCCTCCCCAACACACACAAACAGTGCAGTAGTAAAACCTGAATAAGATCAGTGGTTTGTATCTAAGTAGTGTCTAAGTTAGTTTCCTAGTTGTGATACTGTTCGCATCAGGGAAACGATGTGTGTGTGTGTGTACACAGGATTTCTCCAGAATTTTTCTGACACCTGTGTGTGACCCTAAAATTATGTCAAAATAGAAGGTTTAAACAGATAGAGGTAAGGGGCTATTTTTTTTTCTTTTCTTTTTAAGGGCTATTTGTTTTACGAGAAGCTCAGTTTCTCAGCAGAACTCTGTTTTGTACAAAGAAGAAGCCTGGCCCAAGTACACTGCTGGGGGGGTGGGGGTGGGAAGGGATCTTTGCTTAAAAAAATATTCCTGAGAACTTCATTTTGGCCTTAGCTTCTAATTAAAGATGACCATGGAACCTGACAGTGATGTTAATTCAGACACTGACGGGTAAGCATCCGATACTGTAGAAAAGCGATACATTCATTATTGATGTGCTCATTCATTTAACAATTTTCTTGAGCACCTACCATGTCGAAGACAATGAGCCCAGCATTGTGGTTGGCTGATACTTGATCCACATACGAACAGAATTTGTGGGACCTTGCGATTGTGAGGCAAGCAGTGGAACCACTGAGCTAAATCCCCAGCCCCCAGGATTTGTGTTTTGAGAGATGAGATGTGGATCCCTAATAAACAGCCCTGTAAGAGGGAGGGAAAACCAAGCAACAGTGACAGGGCTGGGCGCTCCAGTGGTACTGGGGGGCCCTGTGGGTCTGATTCAGGTTGGCTGGTGCACTGAGTCCACGGAAGAGAGTGGTGAGGAGGAAAGTGTGGACTCTAGAGAACTTGAATTTGGGTTTTGGAACAGGAATGTTCCACTGGCAAACTCTGCGAATGTCCCAAGATCTGAAACACTTTTGACTCCAAGCAGTTTGGATGAGGGACAGGTCAACCGGTACAAGAGTCTGGAGGGTGTGAGGTATCCTCTCTGCTTTCCTACTTTCTTCATTCCTTACTCCCCGAGAGCAATGTGGTGGTGTGCATTCTAGTCCCTTCTCCTTGTGCATAATGGACATTCCTTCAAACCAAGATTTTATATGTACTGCCAGTAAAACATAAGGGAGACAGAAGACAACTTCTCAAAAATCTCAGGATGTGGCTGCACTGCTGAATATTAAGGCCAGTTGCACTGTGGTTAGATTAAACCAGCCTGAAAAGTTAAATAAAACACAGCCAGCCAGCTAACTTTTAAAAAATAGCCTATTTCTAAATTTACTGCCATCAAGGAATCAAGTCAGCAGGTGGTTAACACCCAAGAATGACATGGAGTCCAATATGCTAGTCATGTTCCATATTTTAAAAGTAAATCTGCTAGTTGTGGTGGTGCACAGCTGTAATCCCAGCACTCTGGGAGGCTGAGGCAGGAGGATTACAAGATTGAGCTTAGCCTGGGAAACTTAGGAATTGAGCCAGATTCTCTTTCAAAATTTAAGAAAATTTTAAAAAGGAAATCTTTTAGTTCAAGTCTGATGTTCCTATGGCCTGGCCCAGTAATTTCTGGTTCTAAGCACCAGGGTAACTGGCATAGTAATCTTAGGTCACTCTACTTCTATCTGCAGTGTGGGGATAAAAGGCCATTCATAATTCCAGTGGCTTCATGTCAGCACTTGGCCTGTCAGGGCCCAAACTGGCTTTTGATCTTCCACTGTGCCCTGCCTTAAAGTAGTGTCCTTGAGAGACAACTGGCAGAGGTCATAGGACAAATCTGTGTTCTCCTGGGAGAGAAAACCTAGTTTTTTGTTTGTTTGTTTTTGTCTTTTTTTGGTACCAGGGATTGAACTTGGGACTTTGTACTTGCGAGGCAGGCGGTGAAACCACTGAGCTAAATCCCTGGCCCTAGTTTGTTTTTTTAAAAAAAAATCCAAGCAATAAAAGGAAGGTCCTTTGCCTTTAAATATCTTCACAGAAGTGAATCTACAAACTCAAAACTACCTATCCACAGTGTAATCAGTGGTAGAGTCTGGGAAATCAGCAACGTTAATATTTTAACGGCCTTCAAGGTCCCTCTATCTGTAAGTGTTTGCTATGGTACACGGTGACTGAGACAAGCGATGGATGGCCAGGTGCTCCTGGATGCCTGGAGAACAAGTCAGTCCGGTTTAAGACATGAGGAAGCTGTGGTCACACAAGCAGATTGGAAATATACTCAAGGGATGCCTGCTAAACATCGAGTTTATGTAAAAATGTGGCCACATGGGGAAGGGACGATCATTATTTTTGCCCTTAACTATATTTGCAATTTCACGATGCAGATGGAAATGAACCTGCTCCTTGGTGTTGTGGGGACAGCGCTGGGGTGGGCTAAGGCTCTGAGGTTAGGGGGGCTTGCAGATGACATCAGAGGAGGAGGAAGCTGCTGGCGGCCCTCAGCTGGAGACTGCAGAGCCCTGGTTTCACTCATCCCGATCCACATCAAGCCCTGAGCAGGGAAAGTGAAAGATGATTCAATTTCCACACTGGGCCAGCCCCTCCCTGCTCTGGGTTGCTAGACGTGACAAATTACATGTGTGGGCATTTTGGTGTGAAGTTCTGTCCGCTGGGTCTGGGCTCACAGTAGCAGCTCATTTAACTTGTCTGAATTTTTGCCACTGAAACACCCACCCTTACCATAAACCCTTCAATCAAGGAAAACCAGCTGTTAGCCAAGTGAACATCACTACCAGATGGCTTATAAAAAACACGAAATATAAACGAACAGGTCTAAAGAAATCTGTCTCTATGTAATTGAAATCTGAGGTCACAGATATTTTTTCCTATTTTCTTTTTCTCCTAAATGTGTTTCGAAGTTCTGAGGATCAATTTTTGGTCATTGATGTCACAACAAATTCTTCATTTAGTTTACTTATTTTGTTGTCATTTAAAAGATTTACATTACTTTAGAGATTTTCTTAAACATATGGCAAAGGTCTCGGTATTTTAAAAAATTCCTCAAAAATGGGTGGGTGGTGAATCGGAAATGGGTTAATCTTTTAAACTGTATTTGCACTGCATCCCTTCCAAAGCCAATGAACATTTTTTTCTCTTTTTATTTTAGGTCTCTTGTTGGTTATAAGCTACCATGCACAGCATTACTTAGAGGTGCCTATGTGCACAGCACACCCATGTTCACAATTACACTTGGACAATAACATCACATACACCTCCCTCTTCAGGGGCTTAGGCAGCATAAAACATACCATCTCATACAGAAGGGATTTCATTTACAAAAGCAAAATCCGTTATTGTCCTCTTTTTCTGTGGCATCCCAATGCATTTCTATTGCTTTTTCATCAAATGCTGCTGCAAATAATCAAGCATGACCACTGACATCCACAAGATTGAGTTTTAGGAACCATTAAATGAGCTCACCCTCATGGGAAGTCTCTTGCTCAGGCTGGTCTAAAGGTAATTATTCCGCAATTCCTACCTGTGGTATTACCTTGTCCCTATATAGTGTTTGAATTTCATACTCTAGTAAGGTCAGTCTTTCTTTCCTCTGGAAAAGTCCAGCTACATATGTTTGATCCAAGACCTAATTGTAATGTTAATATACACACTGGTATTTCATCGGGTACTATGTGCACAAGTGCTGATTAAAATAGCTCTTAGATTAAAGGTAGATCATAAAATATATTAAGCCAAAACCAAACAGGAGAGCTGGGAGAGAAAAATAGCCCTTAATAGGTTCCTAAATGAGAGGAGTAATTCCTCTTTGCATAGGTAAGGGCATCTGAACCACATTCACAGTGTTCAAGTGCAAGAAGCTGGCAGGTCCTCGTCCTGAAAAATCAACAAGCCATAACACTATCAAGTCAGACTGAGAACTCGCTGTAAACCCGAAGTCCACATCGCCACACTGTATGTCCTCGAATGTTCACTCAACTGTTAGTTAAAATAATTACTGCCATTTGCCACCTGCACTGCGAGCTACAGATAAGGGGAGAAACAGAACTTCAGTGACTGTGGCGCCTAGCACTGGTGGTATTTTCCCTACACATTTTAAAAGAAATTCAAAGGCTCCATCAGCTACAATTCAAAGGATGAGAATTATATATGAATCTGTGTCATCCTTGGTTCCATCCAATAAATAACAACAGAATTTAAAGCTGGCTGATGAAGATACCACGTCAGTTTAAAATCAGTTAATAAAAGAGGAACAAAGAGGGGGGAGATGGAGAGAGGAAGGGAGAGGAAATGAAGAAAAAAACAGAACTACATACTGTGAAATGAACAAGTTCAGTTAGAATGTTCATCAGGATTTGGAAAATCATAATGCCATCTGCTACTCTGGACCTCAGAACATCAGGGATCTCCTGGGCCCAGACGCTTCCATTTCCAGGAGGAAGGAAGAACTTACACTCCCTGGAAAGCTGCCTCCATTCTGGAATGGAGGCGACACCCCAGCCGACCAGTTTGGAATCGCTTTTGAGAACATTTTGCTGCTCACACACGCGTTTCCCCTGGTTTAGGGAAAATTAACAGCAAGCAAAACGATTACAGCAACTCGGCAGTGAGGCGGCGCAGGGACCCAGCCCGAGCTGCTGGGTAACTGACCCTGGCATCCAACTTGGGCTCGGGGTGTGGAGGTCCCACCATGGTGGATTAAATGAGCATTGTCCTACGGCTGGGTACGACTTCACAATAGAGCAACACATGTTAAATGACAGCAGCCAAAACTGGCCCCACCAGGCAACTGCCCATTCACAGACCGCTATTCAAAGGCCTCCACCACCAAGAAATTAATTCATTAATAATACATCAGGCTTCCTAGACAATTCAAAGGCAACAACACAAAGCTACTTGTTCAGTGACTGCCTGAAGATGCAGAATTTTTCCTGGTTAAAAGGGCCTCACAAATCTAATTGACTCACTGGAACCAAAGTGATGGGGATGTTTATGTTAACAATTTGGTCAGTAAAAAAGAAGAAATGGAGAAAGTCTATCCACTGAATTCAGTTGGTGCCACTAGGAAATAATAAAAATAGAGATTTGCAGCTGCAGCTAATAAAATCTGATTTTACATAACTGTGTTTAAAAATTATTTTTTCGTACTTCAAGAGACTTTGTACATCTTCCAGAAAAACATTTTCTTTTAAATTATTTCTTCTGTAACATTTTTTTAAAAGCTTACTTCTTTCTTACTCCTCCCTCCCAACAACTCATAAATATGAATTAAATATAATTATAAATGAACAGAACATTAACTTTTGGATTACTGCTGTGTTTTGGTAGAATGTTAATGTCACTTCTAAAGAAACAGCTATTACCAATAGAAAAAAGTAATTACAAAGGAATCCTGGTCTTAATGCTAACCTATTTTCAATCTTCAAACCAGCCAAACTGCATTAATTTAAACACACTGGACTTTTCAAAGGAGGTATTAGATTTCTAAAGATTGCCTTACATAAAAGAGGAATATCAATTTTCAGGCTCCTGAATATATATTCCCAACACTGTGAGATGCAGGTCTAGTTAACAATGTTGCTGGAAGCAGGACCATTGTGTGTACCCACTTGGATTAACTTACCAAGCCTCTAATGCTTTAGTCATTCACTCATACATGGAATCCTGCATCAGAACTTCCTGTTTACAGGAGTGGTTAGAGTGCGGGCCAGTGTTGGGGAAGCTTTGAGCCAGTATGGGCCGTTGGAGGGCTCAGGCCAATGTCTCCACCCCCACCCCGAGGCTCCTGTGGAAGGAACAGGCCCCCTCTGGGAGCAGCAGGACAGTGGGAGACGGTCCTTGTGCTCGGCAATAACTTCAGAAGCCAGAATCATGGCAAAGTCCCTCCAGCAAAAGATAAGAGGATATTTCCTCCTCTCAAATAGGTGGATGCTACTTTCTGCACTTTCTGAATTCCAGGGAGGTGTTGCCAGGCAGTCATTCTTAAAGACTGCCATGGGCACATGCTATTTTCATAGCCCAGGAGTTTATCAAGTTACCCTGTCCAAAATGAATGATTCTGTAGGAAAGTTTTTTTTTTTTTGGTACTGGGGATTGAACTCGGGTCCTTGAGCTTGCGAAGCAGGCGGCGGAACCACTTAGCTAAATCCCTGGCGGAAAGTTTTTTTTTTTTTAAATACAAGTCTAAGAGCCAAATATTTTATGTTTTAGTAGAAATATTTCTAAAAGGATCCATGTTCTTTCCTGACAACTTAAACAATATATAGAGTAGAATTCTATTATAGTCATTCTTACAGACTTGGAGTCATTTGCATAGATAGCAAAACTGAACTAAGTTGTCTTCTTTTATAGCCTTATAACAAAAACAAAACCCTCTTCCTCTGATATGGAAATGTTCAGCTGTCATTTTTTGTTTCCATTGAGTCAACTGCAGTACAGGGGAAGGACCCTTATTCTGATCTGTGACTCAGTTTTCTCCTCTGTAAAATGGATTGTTGTAGGAAAGCAAAAGGTCTTGCAAAACACTGTGGGTGCCAGACTGCCCTAGCCCAGATTCCTCCTCTCCACCTTCCTCTGTAACCAATCACTCACCAAATGTAGTTTATTCTATCTCCTAAGTATGTTCCAAACATGCTAAGGCTGTCCTAATTAAGGCCTCCTAATTTTTGATCAGAACCACAGTTTCCTTACAGTTCTTCCCTTCCACATCCTACTCAGAGCGATTTTTCTAACACATAAATCTGGTTATGTGGATCCTAACCTTAAACGTCTTTGAATTTTCCCATCTTCCTTTTACCACAGGCATGGTGCATAGAAATCCCTTAAAATCTGGTTCTTACCTCATCTCCGTAACACTTTCCCAGGCACCCAGCCATAATGAATTCCCTCCCAGGGCTCCAGGTCTCTTACAGGCAAACTCCTACTGGCTTGTCTGTTTCCAACTCCCTGCGCATTCTCCCTCATGGCCCTGTTTCCTCCACTGAGCTCTCGGCCTTCTATTTCCCCAGCACCTTGTCCATGCTTTTATTATAGAATTTACATGGCTGCAAACACCATTAAATGCCACATATGTGAGTGGTTAAAATGACAGCCACTGTGGTTCTTCGAGAGCTCAGGCCATCCAGTTTTACACTGTTTATACTGCCTGAACTAGCGACCTGTTCATTTATGACTCCACCTGTCTGCTTTCCTCAGTAGAGCAACAGCTCTTTAATGGTGGCAGCTATGTCTCATTCATTCTCTATCCTCAATATCTAACCCTGAGATACCATAGGCCAGTGGTGGCGAATCTATGGCATGCGTCAGTGCACTCTCTGTCGGCACACAAGCCAAACTGCCCAACAATGCCCCTGCAGCTGAGGATTCAGGTTTAATTGCAGTGTTGGCACTCTGTGATAAACAAGTGGGTTTTGGGTTGCAGTTTGGGCACTTGGTCTGTAAAAGGTTCACCATCATTGCCATAGGCTATTGTCAATGGCCTGCACACTAATCTATAGACTCTGAGGACTTTCATAGGTGCTGTGGGGAAGGGGGTTGGAGATCTAAGTCTCCTGATGTCTCACCAAACTAGAATAGTTTCATGTTCATCTATTTTCATTTTGGTTTTTTTTGGTACCGGGGATCGAACTCGGGTCCTTGAGCTTGCGCAGCAGGTGGCGAAACCACTGAGCTAAACCCCTGGCCCACGTTCATCTATTTTCTATGGAAGGTTCTTGAAGTGTCAGGGCTCTACGAAATGTGTGAAAGTCAACTATTATATAAATGGGAAGATAACAATCTGATTTGCATTTGTCTTAAAAATATTACTTTTAGGTACACCTGCCTGGCAAGTGCAAGGTCCTGAGTTCAATTCCTGGTACCAGAAAAAAAAGGGAAAGTGAAAATATTACTTTTAGGTAAATCAAAACCACAGTGAGGTATCACTTCACATCTGTTAGGATGGCTAGTATCAAAAAATCAAAAGATAGCAATTGTTAAAGATATGGAGAAAAGGAAACTCTCACACAGTGTGGGACTACATTTGGATAGTCACTATGGAAAATATATGGTGGTTCCTCAAAAAATTAGAGCTAGAACTACCACATGATCCACCAATATTACTTCTGGATATATAGCCAAAGGGAATAAAATCATTATTCTGAAGACATCTGTATTCTCATATTCACTGCAATACTATCCACAATAGCTAAGATATAGAAACAAATGAAATGTCACTTGATTGATGAATGGTTAATGAAACTTGCTGCATGTATGCATGCAATGGAATATTATTCATCCCTAAAAAAGGAAATCTAACCACTGCAACAACATGGATCAATCTGGAAGACATTCTGCTGGGTGAAGTAAGCCAGACACAGAAAGTTAAATACTGCATGGTCTCATTTATGTGTGAAATTTTAAAAAGTTAAACTCATAGTAAGAGTAGTTACTAGGGTAGGGGTGGGGGAAATGGGAAGATGTTGGTCAGAAGGTACAAGTTTATAGTTCTAAGTTTAAAAAGTTATGGAGTGGAGCATGGCGGCTCACACATGTGATCCCAGCTCTCTGGGAGGCTGAGGCAGGAGGATCACAAGTTTGAGTCCAACCTGGGCAACTCAGCAACTTACTGAGGCCCTGTCTCCAAGAAAAAAAAATCAGGTATATCTTAAATACATTTAATTTCTATTTGTAAATCACACCTCAAAAAGATGAAAAAATTATAACATATTAATCAAGGCACATTTGTATTTAAAACTTAAGTGTTCCTTTAACTTGCTTTAACCTGTCTCTTATTCATTTCCCGTTTTCCCACAAATAAATCAGCACAAGTGAAAAAAAAACAAAAACAAAGTAAGGAGACAGACTGTTGTCATACATTGGGTAGGATCCTTCATTCAGGATTGTGTGGTTTTCCTTAGAGTTCACCTACAATGTGCACAAACCTAAAGCGCACAGTGGCTCTCACAGAATCACTGAATAATGCCAGGCCAGGCCAGCAGACAGGAAGGGCAGCAGCAGCCCACAGTTCCAAGAAGGAGACCTTTGTCCCTGTGTGTGGGAGTTCTGGCTTTCCTCACAGGTCTGTAGCTAAGATAAGGGGATGGACAGGAGTGGACAGGACAACAGACAGAAGGGCTGGGCAAGAAGACAGGGAAGGGGGTCCCTGGCCTGGGGCCTGCCTGGGGTCCTCCAAGATGAGGAGGAGGCAAGTGTGCTTGCTTAGGGTGGGAACAGACTTTCTTGACAAATGAAACAAAACAGACCCCAAACTAACAGTCCATCATTATAAATCTCACTTACAAATGTCTGTGCATTCTGCAAGTTCCTATGCCTGTCACCAGAAACTTAATGAAGACATGAGAAAGCCCCTGCTATTTACCTGTCTGCCTGACAGGCACACGTGCATCATTACAGTGGTACTAAAAAAAGAGTCATTTCGAATGGGGACAATCACTCACCCTCTGAAAACCTGAACTCATGAGAGCCCTCAACAGAGACCGTCACTTAGATTTGGCCCCCACAAATGCCAGCAAACGTGCCCAGGACCGGAAGCAGGCAGCTCAGGGAGAAAGAGGACAGAGGAGTCTGCCCACATGAGCTAGGCAGACCAAGAGGTAGCAGAGGTACCTGTTCTATAAGAGGGTGGCACACAGACAGAAGAGGATGAGAGGAAAGGAGATGGGAAAGGGAGGAGAAAGAAGAGGGAAAAGCCTCCTTTGTAACTACATATCTAAAAAGCTTCTAAGTATTTCTTCTCTGCCCTGTTTTCCTTACCATTTCACCACTGGGGAATCATCTTTGAAATCAGCCCTGCCTATACCTCAGCTTCTGGGCATCCCGCTGGAGGCTCTTACCAGAGTTTTCTGGTCTCACCTTGGGTCCGCTCATCGGTCTCTGAAGGTGCCCCCTGCTCTGGCCCTATGCTGGTACTTCCCACTTCTCACACCATGAAAACCTAACTACTGCCCAATCCCCAGCTCAAACATCCTCTCCTCTTCAAAGCTATCTTTGTTACCTTCCCACCTCTTCCAACCTTCCAAGCTCCAGCCCAGTGCAAGGTAGAAATTCAGCACGGCACTGTTTCAGCAGCTTCGTTACAGCTGTTGTACTGAACGCCATTTCACTCATGAGTCTGTCTCCCC